CCCCCCACCCCCCACCTCCACTGACCTAAGAGTGCTAGTAATAACCTTGAGACAGGCACCGGACCTTGCCCAGAGGCCGGAGAGATGTAGAGGTCAGGCTCACCAGGGAGTGTCTGTGACACTTCCTGTTGGAGGACCAAGAGCCAAGTCTCTTTTCATTTCTGTGCCTCAGTTATGTCAAGGGAGCACGGGGCTAAAAACACAGAGTTCAGAGGCGAGTGGGAAGATTTCAAGTAGATGTTCCTGTGTTTAACAGAGAACTTAGCCCCTGGTAACTACTCAATAAAAGTCCCTTCCAACACCCAAGGCCAGTGTTCCTTACCATTCCTCCACCTCTCAAACCACCTGCCACCTGCCTGACTCGACCTACCAAAGCCCTCCTCTTCATGAAAGGCGGAATGCCACCGCAGGACGCCTTCCCTGCAGGTCTGTCAACACTGGCTCCACACCCTCATCCCCTTAAAGCCCACCATCTGACCAAGACCACTGTGAAGACCCTTATCAAGAACCGTTTTGTCGTGAAATACAGACACTCGAGTTCATTTTCAAACCTTTATCATAGAAAACTCAAATAGATACAAAAGCAGTGAGGCAACAGTCATAAATTCCTCATCTACCATATTCAATACATTGTCGAATTCATTTCCTCTCTCCCACTAGCCCCCTCTCCTCTCTGATCAAGTATTGCTCTATAAGATGATATCTCATTTGCAAATAATTCAGCATATCTTCCTAAAACATAAAGATTCTTCCTTTTTAAAAAAACACAAGTACAACATAGTGAGAGCCAGAATTCGGCAGGATGGTCCGTTCTTCCCGGTCGTGCATGTTCTCTGCCATGGACAAAGGGCAGTCCTATCACGTCTCTACTGCTCATGTTAGTAGGACATGTTTATGTTTCCACCTTTCACAGCTGTGACTGTAATGTCACTGGTCATAAAATCTAAACATCTTCAATGAGTGTAAACGAGACATTCTAATAATAGACAATCAAATCCAAAGATAAAGTCATCAGGAAATATGATTTCTTTCTTCTTTGTATACCCCCAAACTCTTAAGACATACTTAACCTATCAGAAAAATCCTCTGGAATCAAATCAAGAAGAAGTAAATACATTATGTATATATATGCATATATATGTATCCATATATAAATGTATATGTATATGTGTGTTTATATGTATGTACAAACTCACTGCCATCAAATAGATTCTGACTCACAGCGACCACATAGGGCAGAGGAGAGCTGCCCCGAAGGGCTTCTGAGGCTATACATCTCTACAGGAGCAGAAAGTCTCATCTTTCTTCCTCAGCACCGACAGTTGTTTGAAACTGCTGACCATGTCGTGGTTAGCTGCCCAAATGCTAACCCACTATGCTGCCAGGGCTCCACTTTCCAATTGACGTCGATCACCTCCTGTCCTCTCCCACCCCCGACCCTGGCAGGGAACTTACCAGATGAAATCTCGGCAGTGGGAGCAGTAGGTGGGCTGCCGAAGGTAGGTAGCCATGAACTTGTGGCCGTTGACCTGGTGGACCCTGCGCCTGACGGCCCCCTGCCGCTTCCTGGGCCGCAGGCGCTCCCTGAAGACACGTTCTTCATTGTCCTTGGGGGCTGGAAGAGGACAAGAGCAGTGAGAAAGACAGAGGACCGGTCAGACCCAAAGCCAAGACAACCGCCGTCCAGCAGACTCCTGGCAGCTCCCAGTGGTCAGAGCAGAGCTGAGCTCTGCTGAGTTTCAATGGCTAGTTTCTCAGCAGTGGATCTCCACTTTGGGTGGCCCTTTGGTAAGCAGCTGGTCATTTAACCACTTGAACCATCCAGAAACTCCTGAGTCTTGGTTAGAAATGAAAACCCACCACCATCAAGTCAATTCGGACTCATAAACTCACTGCCCTGGAGTCAACTCCAACACAGAGAGACCCGATGTGATAGGAGAACTGCCTCTTGGGGGTTTCTGTGACTGCCAATCTTTACAAGAGTAGAAAGCCTCATCTTTCTCCCCTGGAGCAGCTGGTGGTTTCGAACAGCTGGCCTTGTGCTTCGCAGCGAGCAAACCACCACACCACCAGGGCTCCCTGCTCCCTCCTAGGGGCGCTATGGAGAGTTCCTGAGATGGCAGTTCTTTACAAGAGCAGGCCGCTTCATCGTCCTCCGGAAGAGCTGCTGGTGAGTTTGAACTGCCCACTTGGGTTGAGCAGCCCCATGCCTAGCCAGTCGGCCTCCTGCTTTTCTGACAAAAACAAACAAAAATCACTGCCATCAGTTTCATTCCAACTCATAGTGATCCTATCGGATGGAGCAGAACTGCCCGGGTGGGTTTTGGAGACTGTGAGAGGAGAAAGCCTCCTCTTTCTCTCTCAGAGTGGCTGCTGGTTTCCAACTGCCGGCCATGTGGTTAGTGGTCCCATTCGTAACCACCAGAGCGCCACTGCTGACCTTCTGCGGGAGGACTATTCCAT